GAAGGGCACCTCAATATCAACTACCTTAATGTCCACCCTTGAGAAGTGAAGAGTAGTTAAAGAGATGACCCTCAGGCAAGAGGGCAAATCAAATAAGCAAAAATCCTTTTATTTGATTACTTATCCACTTATTTATTTATTCAATAAATTCATTAATGTATTAAAGACTACTACTGGAATTCACAATAATATAAGCAGAACAGGCTGATATTTCTAGGAAGGAAAATTCTGTTCAACCATTTTTTTGGTCACCATTGATTATGAGATTACAGTGACACAGAGCTTGTTTGAAAGAAATAATGTAATCTTGATATATTCATCTAGTTTCTCTTACCAGGGACTGAAAGTTTCTATTTGCAAGATAAATGGAAAGGATTGAAGTATGTTTTGATATTCTCTTGAAGAGAATGGGAATTGTCCAGGTCCTATGAGAAATAAACCTTTTACCTCAGTATCATTAACACTGTGATAACAACAGCTAGGGCTATAAATAAGTTGAAGAGTAAGACAATGGTATCCAGACCCAAATTCTGACTCTTCCAGAAAAGACTTCCTTGAATTCCATAGGTAAGCATCTATCTCTCCCTCCTCTAACTTTCATTCTCACTTTTTCTCTCTCATAGAGTTCATTCTTTCTATTTTGCATTATAGGAAGTAGTTTATCACCTCTATTAGTCTGTGGGCTTCACACACTCTTCCCATGTCTAATTTATCTTTATCTCTTATTGTGTGCTGTGCATAGTACAGGTGCGGAGCAAAGAATGTTTAAGCAATTTAGGAATTATTTTTAAACATTTTAGGAACCTCTATTTTGCATATCAATAATGTATTACTACACATGATCATTACATTATTGAAATAAGTCATCTAAAGTACATACTTGGCAATACTTTGATAATAGTTTTACTCCTTAATATTGAAATTAGTAAAGCTATTTTTAAAAACACTAAGGTTTTACTAGATATAAATATAGCATAGCTTAGGCCCTCCCTGGTGGCGCAGCGGGTTAAAGCACAGCACTGAGAATCTAGAGCCGCTTCCTCATGAGTTCGGTTCCCACCTGCCCCGGAGGTGACCATATGGTGTGGCAGACCTCTCCTGACCTGCCCGCTGCTCCCCTCAGCAGTTTACTTTGTCAGTCTGCCTGTTCTGCTCCCCACTCTGTCTCTGGTGAAGCCTCTCACCACCCCTGAGCCTCTGGCCTGCACCCCAGTTCCGTGTGCACAAATAAATAAATCTTAAAAAAAAATATATAGCATAGCTTAAAAAAAATCTTGTTCTTTTAAAGATTTTATTTTTTATTTTTGTACAGAAGAGCTGTGATTAGGCCAGAGGTGCGGGGATTGAAAGGATTCACTAGAGACAAAGTAGGGGGCAGAATAGCAGATCCAGTGACATATACTGCTAAGGGGAGCAGCAGGTGAGACAGGAGAGGTCTTCGGTTGCATATGTGGGTCAGCTCCCTGGCAGATCAAACTCAGGCCACAGTGGTAATAGCTGAAATTTAACCCCTTTGCCAATGGTGGGAGGCAGGGAGGGGCCTACCTTAAAAATTTTCCACTTTCATTGGCGACTCCTCTGTAGCCCTTCACTCTTTCATTGAAGTAATAATGTAACTTTTTCCTACCTTTGCTTTACTATAATTAAGTAAAAAAAAACACAACTTTCAAGGAAGAATAGGGCTTATTATTTTAACCTGAGAATAGCTAATAGCCATTATCTTGTAAGGCTAAAAACAAATAAAAATTACTATAACATCAGCTGTGGATGGTAATAAAACACAGAACTAAGATATATACTAGTGACTTATAAAAGCAGTATAGTTTCTAATATTTTGAAAAATTACATTATCTCCCAATGTCAAAATATGCCCTTCTCTCATTTTTTTTCTAACTCATTTTCATATTCATCTATACATTGCAGCTATTCTAGAAACTAGAGGGTTATATTCTGTCACTTAGAGGCTTTATAAAGAGATACTCATTTACAAACCAATGGTAAAGATAATTCAACAAAGTAAAAATATACAAGTGCAAAGGGAAAAAAATAGGGACAAAAACATGAGATGAAAAAAAGCTGTTTTGAGTTGAAAGACAGAGCTAGGATGTAAGTGGGCAAGAAAAGGAAGAAAAAGCTATGTAGCTCAGAGCCTTTGTATGATCAGTATGCATGATGAAATTTTAGGAATATTTTTCTATTTCTATTAGTACATAGCTGATGTCCCCCAACTTTTGGCAGTTTTTGCTATTGGTACTTAAGTGTTTCCAAGTTACAAAATATACTGAACCATATATAGAGTCTGTTTGCTGTTGTACCATAAAAGAGTAACCTAGACTAGGAGTCAACAAGCTTTTTCTGTAAATGGTCAGAGACAGTAAATATTTCAGGCTTTAAGGTATCTGTCATAACTACTCAACTTAAATAGTGGGAAACAAAAACACACCATATATAAATGAGTGGATATGGTCGTGTTCCAGTAAAACTGCTTACAAACACAGGCAGGAGACCAGCTACATTTCTGGAACACAGCCTGCTAATCCCTGACTTAGACTAATATTCTCTCAATTTCTCAACATCATCCTGGTATTTTCTTTTTTACTCCTCTGATACAGGTATGAACTTCATTTATCTGTGGAAAATAAACACTGCACAGTCTTAAGAAATTATTTAAAAATATACATTAAAATATTAATGACATAATAGTGTCAGGTAAATCTTCTCAGGGATAATCATCATCAATGTTATACAAAACCACTTCCTATATGTTCCAGTTATGTCACTCTTTTAACTGAAATGTTCAGAACATATAAAAATTTTTCAACTGCCTGAAAGGTTAAAAATTATCCTAAAAAAAGCATTCTGTGGGGAATCAATGAATGAATGGGAAGATACACAGAATTCACAGACGTGCTCAGAGATGTTTGAGGCAACCTAGATGCAAATATCATTTAATAACCTAAAGTATATACTGTTTTAAACTTTATTGTTATTGGTAACTAAAACCATCACAGTTGAAAAGAGCTACAAAATTAGTGATCTCATCACAGTGTACATTTATTTTTCCTGCCTAAATGAGAATGCTAAAATAGTACCTAACTTTTTAACCTGGCCATATGTATGCTATCTCTAATATTCAACCAACTTTAAAAAATTTTAACTATGTTTAAGATATACAACATGTACAAATGACATGTAAAATGACAAAACACAGTATCTACTACCCAGATTCAAAATGGACATTACTAAGCCTATAGAGATCTTCTTTCTCTGTCCTTTCTCTTTTCCTTCCCCAGGTATTACTCACTTCCAACACTGTGTTTGGTATATCCCATCATACTTTTGCACAAGTGTACATATCTCTGAGTAATTTATCTCATTATTTTACAACTGATTTAGCTCTACATCTGAATTCATTCATGTTGACATGCACAGTGCACTCAAGTGGGAGAGATGTTCTCACCAAGTATTTTATGTACTTCCTATGCTTCTTAGCATTTAAGTTGGAATCACTGGAGCAGAAGGGAAGCAAGTGTGTCATGTATGTGGCAGTTAAAAGATTCATGCCTTTCTTTCTCTACCTTAGTGAAGTTCAACCATGTATTCTAGAGGGGGGAAAGGGACAGGAACATAAAGTGTCCATCAAGCTTGGTCCCCGAGTGAGGTGGAGCAGAACCTCTTATCATTCCATGTTGGACATATAACATAAAAAAGAAATACTACTACTGGAAACGGACATACACACACACATCAAATACTTACTTCCTGGGATATCAACAAAAGCATTAGTTTGAGACACAGGGTAAAGTAAAAGCTTCTGGAAAAACTCAAGTCTTTATCTTCGTTAAAGGCCTGCCGCACTAACAATACTTTCACAGTAGTTCCTACATGCTTATCTACTCTTTCGGGTTGTTAGTTTTGTCTCCTCAACCAGATTTAAAGCTCTTTAAGAATCATGTCTTCTTTTGTACTCCACAACGCACTTCAAGGTCTAGAAAGGGGTGCAGTAAAGACCACTTTACTGATGACTGGGGAAGACGAAAACTAATACAGCCACATGCCACTTAATGAATGTGATCAATGATGAACTATATAAAATAGGCTGAAACATACAGCCCAATAATGTATTAGGTTATATCACACCAAGATTTGTGTAATTACATTCGTATAACAATAAAATAACAATAACAATATCCCTGTTGTTATTAAGTAACGCATGACTATATTAAATATCTCCTTTGTATAACTCACCTTGCTTGTGCTTCACAAAGTTATCTGGATCCATATTTTTCACTATATCGATATTAACATTAGGTAACTTTCTTTTGGTCACAGGGCTAGGAAGAAGGTGGTGGGTGTGGGGAGGGCAGGTGAAATCATCAGTCTGTTTGCCTCTAGGAGTCTTTGCTTTTATGACTAAACTGAGTGACATCATTCTAGTGTAAGGCAGGAACTTTTATAGGACAAAAAAATGGCTTAAGAAAAAGAGTTTTTGACATGGAAGCAGCCCAAATGCCCAAAAATAGATGACTGGATTAGAAAGATGTGGTACATATATACAATGGAATATTACTCAGCAACCAAAAAAGAGAAACACATGTCC